CATGTTTGACCTGGTCCCTAGTTCTTTAGCACTATGCCACCATACTTGCTGTGACCCTTAGTTAATCTCAGTCATGGATTATCAGGAGCAACAGCTGCTTAGAACACTTACATCAATTTTGGCTGTAGTGGTACCAATAGCATCAAACATAGCCTGGAAAACAACGAACTGAGCTAACCCTTAATTTACAACTTTTAACCATGTGAACTACATTTGTGGTTATATAACAAGTGTAAAAGAAACCAGATAATTATTTGCAAGATGGAAGTCTGTAATGTGTTAGTTTTGCCCTCAGGATTAAAAATTTTAAATGGATTAAGCAAAAAAGAGAGAAGTGGAAGAAGAAAGAGATTAGCAGTAAGGTTGGAGATCAAAGACGAGTCACGCCAGCTTGGGGAAACTGGTGCAGAAGACTGAAGGAAAAGAGAGATGGAAGATGAAAGGAAGAGCACACGGAAGCACACCCACAAAGAGGCTAGGGACCACTGTTATACTCATATATAAACAATAAAGGAGGAGGCAAAGAAAAGAGAAACAAATGGTCCGCCTCCAGGCTTCTCTCTGGGTTCCCTAGCAGACAGGCTGTGGAGACAGAGCCCTGACTCGAGCTGCTCTGTCCCAGCAAGGCAGCCGCTGCTGTGTGGTGGAGCGGTGGAGAATCCCGGCAGGGCAGTCCCAAGAGCAGACCCGTCTGGCTTGCCTCAGTCTAGCAGTGTCCATGGGTCTGTGCTCAGCTAGGAGGAGCTGCTGGAGGAAGCCAGCAGGAGTTCTGGTTCGGGGCTTATCTGGCCCAACTCCAACATGGCTGCCAGCCAGCGCGGTCCTCCTTGTCTACTGCTACCTTCCACTGCCACATCTCTCTGCAGAGGCCTCCAGGGTCACCAGCCATCAATTGTCACTGTCACTGTCACCATGCATCTCCAGGTTCAAACAGCTCCTCTTGCGCATTGACCTTCTTCTTTGTTTGAGAGTTGATTTAATGTTTAATGAACTACAGAGTAAAGCCAGACTTTTTGCGGGGTACTGGGGTTCGAACTCACGATTTTGTGTTTACCAGGTAAGCACTTGAGCCACTAAGCTAAATCCCCAGCCCTGCCTTCTTTGTTGACGTTTTTCTTTTTATTCTCTCTGTGTACTTCAGTTTGCACTTCAGATTCTTCCTGGGTCCAGGGGACCCGCTTCCTTCCTTTTTCCTTTTTTTTTTTTTTTTTTTTAATTGGTACCAAGGATCGAACTCACAACCGCGTGCTTACAAGGCAGGCGATTATGCCGCTAAGCTAAATCCCCAGCCCCTACTTCCTTCCTTTTTGTCTTCTTCCCGTTGCTGCATTCCAGCATCTGGATGATAACTCTCAGAAAGGCTGTTTTGTCTGCTGCTTATCACTCCGCCATCTTCCTGAAAGTCAGTAGGTTGTTTTAACTGATTTAAAATTAGAATGTCAGCCAGCCTGGTGTACTCACCAGGTGAATATGAAGGTGAGCATGCCATGACCAAGGATAACAACCTGCTTGGCAAGTTTGCACTCACAGGCACACTTCTTCACCCCATGGTGTTCCTCAGATTGAGGTCACTTTTGACATTGATGGTGATGGCATCTTCAATATCTCTGCCAGTGAAAAGGTACAGGAAAAGAAAACAAAACAAGATTACCATCACTAATAACAAGGACCAATTGAGCAAGGAGGACATAGAGCATATGGTCTAGGAAGCAGAAGCACAATACTGAATATAACCAGAGGCAAGGTGTCCTCCAAGTCCTAAAGATGAGAAACTTCAGGGCAAAATCAGTGATGACAGAAGATTCTTGACAAGTGTAATGAAGTCACCACCTGGCTGCGTGAGAATCAGACTTCAGAGGAGCTGGAGGAAGGCTGCAGTCCTGCCATTTTCCACAGTGCAGTGCCTTCCGTGGAATTGTGCTGGAGGCTTCGCTTGTGGGGAGCTCCTCCATCTAGGGGTACTTCCTTAGGGCCCACCATTGAAGAGGTTGATTAAACAAATCCTGAGTTTAGATTTAGCATTGTTCCACACAGTAATAAAATATTGAAGGATCTAAATTTGTAACACATTCCGCAGCAGCTAATAAAGTGTAACAGTTATAGAAAAAAACTAGGCAATCTCAGTACTTGAATATGAAACATGTACACAGGGAACAGATAACACTGCACTTTATAAGCAGCATAAGTGAGCATGTAATGTCTTCAATAAAACTATTTAAAATTGACACCATAAAAAAACTAGGGCTGGGGATTTAGCTCAGCAGCATAAGCGCCTGCCTTGTAAGTGTGCAGTCGTGAGTTCGACCCCCAGTACCAATTAAAGAAAAATAAATAAAATAAAATTAATACATCAAAAAACTCATAATGAAAATGTCAAAAGGTTCCTGGCCACAGGAAGGCCAGGTGTGTACTACAAGACATCTGTGGTCAGGCCCCATGTGCACCTGTTCTGCTGGGTGACAGCAGGTGTGCTCACAGAGCCCTTTCCTCCAGTATTGTGGGGGCCATTTTACTCCCCTGCTTGCCTTGCCCTGCCGCCTCTCTCTGCATCGTTGAGCCTTCTAGTTCATCCATAGAGTCTGCTGCTGGGAGAACATTCCAACGCTGACCTGGCCCGCACAGAGTAGAGGACAGCAGATGAGCTGGGCTTGATGGCAGGTACCTGTAATCGACCAATGTGGGAGGTAGAGGCAGAAGGATCACAAGTTTGAGCCTGGCCTAGGCAACCTCCAAGTTAGTTAGGCCCTGTCTCTGAATGAATGAATGAATGAATGAATGAATGAATGAATGAATGAGTTGTAGACATGACTTAGTACAAAGGCCCTGGGTTTGATCCTGATACTGCAAAAGAAAAAAAAAAAAGAAAAGGTTTTATTTATCAGTGACTTGATAGCAAAACAGTGTTACATGTGTGTAAAGATGTCCATAAACATCACAGGGACGAACCAAGCACTTACTCAAACACTGGAGTCTTTTAGGACTCTATTGTGAATGATAAAAAATCCAGTCTAAACAGGCTGAAATAAAAGACATCTGTTAGTTGATGTAACATTTCCAGGCTAGTCAGGTCCACTCCTACAGTAGTTCTGTCTTCCCCATAGTGGGACGTGCTGCAGAGTTGATGTCTTTCCACACACAGCTGTGCTCAGATGAGAGCCCTACCATACTGCCCTTGATCTGGGTAGGTCTGCCACTCACTAACTGGGTTAGCTGGCCAGGTCTGGGCCAGGGTCAGCACCACTTGGACTCCAAGTACCTAGAGTTGCTTCCCCCAAACAAAATATAAGTATCATTGCCATGGGAAGCTAGGCAATCCTGAATGGCAGTGAATAGACAAGGATCTTCTCTTTGTATGGCTTTTACTTCCAGTTCTGTTCTGACTATGCAGAGCCTCTCCCCTGGGAGCTAGCTAGGTTAGAATTCTCAAGGGGAAATGCAGGGCCAGTAGCCCTTCCTAGCATTCACTCCAGCAGCTGGTCTCCTTCCTGCTGGCCATCACTGCTCCCCTGCCTGATGGAGTACTCTGTCAGGAGGACCTCTGTGGAGCCTGCTCTGCTCGACACTCTGGCAGTCCAGGGGACATGCTGATGCCACGTATGCCCTGTTTCCAGGACACCCCAGCAAGGAAACATTACTTCAATACATGTGCACCCAAGAACTAAAGACTGTCAGTGGGAGAGTGCATCTGGGAAGACTTCATGGAGGAGGTGACATCAGGGCTGAATTTGGAGGAGGGAATGGAAGTGTATCTGCTTGGCAGGCAAAATGACTACTATAAAAATTATTTGTTGGGGCCGGGGATATAGCTCAGCAGCGTAAGAGCCTACCTGCTAAGTGCAAGGCTAAGTGCAAGTTTAGTTCTCAGTACCAAAAGGAAAAAAACCTCTTTGTTGCTTCATCAAGGGTCTGTGGTCAGAGTCAGAAAGTATTAGGTGGCAGAGGGCCATACTGGGTGATCGAGGATGTGTAACACACGTGTTGGGCAAGCAGCTGAGTTTCCTGCAGACTTTAAGCTTTAGAATGGCTGTGAACCGGGTGGATGGCTTCATGATAGTGGCAGACCTGTGGTGCATGTGCCGTAACAGACTGTTTATCATTGAAAACGTCAAAGTTTTGCCATCACTGGTTCGGGAAGTTCCCGGCGATATGTAGCTAGATTTGAGGTGTGAGGTGAACGCAGGGAGCCCTGGGAGAGGAGGGCAAGGTGAAGTGAGAAGGAGGGTCCACTGCAGAGCTGCCCAGAAGTGGACTTTGAAAGATGTCACTGCAGCTGCATCTGGGGCTGAGGCCACTGCCAGGTTCTAAGGGAAGGCTAGGAAGCAGGCCTGCTCTAAGGTGCTGCAAGGCGAGGAGCAGGGTCCTAGACTGCTGCTCCTAACGGAAGTGGACCTGCCACTTGGGATTCTCAGTACAAGGACTGAATTGAAGGAGCGTGGGGCCTGGTGGCTTCCTGTGTTCCCGTTACTTACTTTCTATAAACAGCAGTTGAGCGCTGAATTTTCCATCCTGGCCTGTTAGGTATGTTAACTGTTCTTAATGAAGAGGCAGATGTCCTGTGAGCAGAGGGTTCTAAATTGCTCATGCAATCTACAGTCTTCTGTTATACAACTCATTCCTGTACACTGACCTTGTGTTGGATGTGCCGGACACCAGTAGAGAGCATATTTGTTCCTGTCCCACATCTCACACATCTAGGTGTGGATGAGATGTTTCCTTTAGGGCAGGCTTTGCTTTACGCAGAGCTCAGGACACTAGGTCTCTCACATACACACATACTCCAACACAGAAGCTCACTTTTCTTTAAGGTAATAAATGTCAAAATTACTGTTTCAGGAAGCAGGTACAAGCCAGTAATTGCCCAGAATCCCCAAACAGCTTTTCAGCCACAGGCCAGTGCGAGGGGCCTGGGGAGGAAGGTGTATGCTTGGACAGCAGGTGTCTTTGGTCTCTCCTCCATCACGCTGTTGTTTCTGCCTCTACCTGAACCCAACCCCCCTCAGCCTGACGGAAGTGTTCGCTTATGCAGCTAGCCCTGCCTCTGTCTGTGCCACATCTTCCACCTGTCGGCTGAGACATCAGAAGTCGATGTCCATGTCAGCCTCTGGGCACCCCAAGATGATGGTACCTCCAATAGACAGTGAAGGAGATAACTTCAAAGCTATGTAAGAAAATGCACATTCCTTGTGGAACTAATGTGTACCCACTGCTGCGTTATTTCATGCTGTGGATTTTTAGTCCCAAGATTTTGTTACAGTCATCCACAGGTGTCCTTCATGTGGTTTTTAGTTAAGCATGTCCTGTCTCATGGTGTCCTTAGTCGCTCTGTGCGTCCTTGGCCTTTGCATACCACAGAGGGCATAAGGAATGCCCTCTTCTCCCCACCTTGCTTCCAGCATGTGGAATTGTATACCATTTGTGTGCTTCCAGAATTTTTTGGTTGCCTATTCTCTGATTACCGCTGCCATTCTTTCTTTCATTTTGGCACAGTTCTGTGTGTGTAAACGGTTTCAGAGTGAAACAGGGGAAAGCTTGAGTTAGTGTTTTTCTCTGTCCTGGAAATCCCTGCATTTATCTTGTCCTTGAGAATGTGTATGTACCATTCCCTTAAACTCTGTGAGGGTTTGTCTCATTATAGCCTACTCCTGGGTGCTCCTTCTCACTTAACTTAGCTTTTGCTCCTGAGTCCTGTAAATACCCTTGGATATGGAATCATTATACTGTATCTAAGAGGTTTGTTACAATTGTAAATTTTTCTGTACCATGATTTTGTGAACAGAGATGTCAGTCTTTTTATTTTCTGATCTCATAGCACTGTTCCTGATCAGAGAACTCCAGTTGCTTCAACCCACAGTATTAGCAGTGCGGCCACCCCAGATCGAATTCACTTCCCACGAGGCACTGCCAGTCGTAGCACTTTCCACGGCCAGCCCCGGGAGCGGCGAACCGCAACGTATAATGGCCCACCTGCCTCACCCAGCCTGTCCCACGAAGCCACACCACTGTCTCAGACTCGAAGTCGAGGTTCCACTAATCTTTTTAGTAAATTAACTTCAAAACTCACAAGGCGGTAAGTGCCAGGTGATGCTGGTTGTATTGGTGCAAACATAGCAGGAGAGATGTCTTTTCTGTCGTGTAAAGCTGATGCTCAGATGCTTGTCATCATTCATGTGTGTGTGTATGTATATGTGTGTGTGTAACTTCTGACTTTAAAACCTTTAAAACAGAAATTACAGAGCACAAAGCCTTTTGGTTTCCTCTAATGCCTGTTCTTTTGATCATATGTCTATCCATATGGTGCCCTTCTGCAGTTCAGCAGGGACATGGCCCTCCATAGCAATCACGGGGTCACCATGGGTCCATGCGGGTCATCCCTGGATACACAGGAATGAGGTGTTTGTTCTCTGTTGTTACTGAATGATGAACCCTGTGTTTCTTAGAAGTTATCTTGAAGATATTCTCACTCAGTCTTAGTTGCACTGAGAGCAAGGTAACATCTAAGAAATAGTATAGCTTTAGAGATAAAATCCTGACCTATTCTAAAAATATAATATCTCAAGCTGAGCTTAATGGCACATGCCTGTAATCAAAGCTGTTCAGAAGGCTGAGGTTGAATGATCACAAGTTTGAGGCCAACTTGAACAGATTATGATCCTGTTTCAAAAAGCCAAAAAAAGAAAGAAAGAAAAAGAAACTGGTGAATCACATTATTATATTAAACAGGCAGATCTGTTGTTAGGATGCCAAATACCAGTTAGCCTAACTACACTCACATGATCCAGAGGTGTCAGGTAACCCTCTTAGTCTCTTCTCAGTCCCTTTACCACGACAGAATGGGCAGAACAGAATGATCTAAAGGGCATTGCCCTGTGACCAGCTAGGGAGACAACAAGTTCAGTCCATACAGAGTTCATGCCTGCCTGCCTTGCTTCCATCCTTCCTTCCTTCCTTCCTTGTCCCCCTCCCTCCCTTCCTTCCAGGGTTCTCCTGCCCCAGGCCTGCTTGTGCCCCTGCTTCTTCCTCAGATCTTTGGATGGTGGGAGACGGTACCAGAACAGTTCCCTGGCTGCCTTGACTCTCCTTCCCTGCTCCAGATCAGTGGGCATTGTTCCCGATGGGAGTGTGCAGCACAGGTTCACTGGAGTTCAGAAAAGCTAGCTGTGCCTGCACACTTAGTTCTAGCTGGCTCTTGGTGTTTTTAGTCACTTTGGGCCTCGTTGATGAAAACATCACCAGGCATCTTTGAATGCTTACTGTGTGCTGAGATACCTAAATGGACATCCAAATATGCAGACAGCTCAGTTTCTAACTACAGACCCCGGCATGTACTATGTATATACCCTTAGGTATACTCTCCCTGCATGGAGTATACAGCACAGACAGCTCCGGTGTGTACACGGACTATGCCTGTATGTATAATACACTTCCCACTCCTCCCGTATTTCATTTCCACAGCCCGTTTGCAGAGTGGTCAGTCTCATAGGAGAATCTGAAAATGAGATTCAGGGAGGTGAAGGCACATGTTCCAGTTCTCTACTGAAAGCACCACTGTGCCAGGCCTGCCAGGCTGCAGATGAGGCCCTTCAGTGGCCACGTGGCCCCTTAGGAGGCTCAGCAGAGGGCTGCTGTAAGCATGTGTCCTATTCTGTCATTTTCTGATTACACTTATTTCATACCATACACTATTTGAATCAAGAGTTTGAAACTGAAGTCTCTCGCTGTTGCTCTCTTGTTTTTGTTTGTTGGTTTGTTTTTGTTTCTTTTAGTCCTTTTGTTTTTCTTTAAGTACTGGGAATAGAACTCCCGACCTTGGGTGCAGGCTTAAGCCACTGAGCTAAATCCCCTCCCTTTTGTTTTTTCAATGTAGGGTCTCACTTTGTAGCATGCTGGCCTCAAACCAGTCATCCTTCTGCTCCAGGTTCCCAAATTCTCTTATTACAGGCATGTGGCACCATACCTGGCTGAGATTAAGATTCCTTGTTAAAAAAAAGTTCTGGGCTGGTCCGATGGCAGTGGGTTATCAGAACTTATTAACATTAGTGTCACTAAAGTTGGTATACCACCACCACCACCCACTGCTAAATTTGACTGGCTTTAAAAAAAAATATTTAAAAAAATAAAAAATTCTGAGTGAGCATCTTGTTTTAAAGTGCCCATCCCCAAACTTTGCAGAAAGGGAGTCTTAATCCTGTTTTATGAAAAACTATAAATTGAGATCATCATCTGTCTTAGTCCTAGTTCCATACTTTGGTTCTAGATTGTTCTTAAAAGTACTTAAAATCCTTGCTGCCGCAGTTGAAACTTCTCTCCCTAGCAGGCATTGCCGGAATTACAGTTGCAGTACCTATAGGGCTCAGATGTTGGCACTTAGATGCTGTGAGGCCGAGCTGAGGGGTCCCAGTACAAGTACTGTGTGGCTTCAGACAGCTGGGGTCTCTGCAGTTGGGAGGAGGGCCTGGTTCCCCTCCTGGCCCTGCCACCAATGCTCTGGTCTGCCCCACTCTGCAGGAGGAAGTGGCCCTGGGCCCTGAGCAGCCTGCAAGACTCCTGTCCCCCAGCGGCCTCCCTTCTCCTTGTACCTTAGCTTAGGCCATCTGAGGGAGGAAAAGAAATGTTAACTCTCACTTCCCCGATAGGAAATTAGGAAACGAAAATGCATGTTAAAGATTTTTTAATCATTTTTCAGCTAATTTAATACCAGCTTATATTTATGGAGCATTTCATTACAAAATATTTCACATGTATGATCTTTACCATGCACAGCCAGTCCCCCACATTTGATCTGTATGAAGTGGTTGGCAGTTGTCTGTTGACATTTTAGATATTTTTGTCATTATTTAAAGCAGTCCAAAATTAATCTCAAATTAGAAAAAAAAAAATTCCAAGGATTTTGTCACTTTAGTTATTCTGAATGTCCACTGTGTCCTTTGACAGATGACCTTAACCAGTCTATACTTCCCCAGACGACCCCAGTGATTTGATACCTTGAAAAGTTTTTGGTCAGATTTTGTTCACCATGACCTATGCATCTCCTTAAAAGTGCTTGATGACCATAGCCACCCCTTGCAAAAATAATTTGTTTTAGGGCTGGGGGTTTAGCTCAGCGGCATAAGCACCTACCTTGCAAGCAGGCAGTCATGAGTTCGATCCCCGGTACCGATAAAAATGAAAAAGACAAAAAATAAAATAATAATAATTGTTTTATTTTGTTACATAAAAATAAAATCCAGAGCAACCCATTTATTTAGGACCCCTCTTGTCTCAAGAACTATTCCTATTCCCCAATGAATTTTCCTACTCTTGAAAATAAAAAGTAAATAAGATCCAGCCAAGCATGGTGACACCAAGCAGCTGAGACAGAAGGAGCTCAAGTTCAAAGCTAGCCTGCAAAACTTAGCAAGACTGGGGCTGGGGATTTAGCTCAGCGGCATAAGCACCTGCCTTGCAAGCAGGCGGTCGTGAGTTCGATCCCCGGTACCGATAAAAATGAAAAAGCCAAAAAAAAAAAAAAAAAAAAAAAAAAAAAAAACTTAGCAAGACCATACTGAGGATGTCACTCAAGAATAGAGCACCCCAGGTCCAGTGTTCACTCCTGTGTGTGTGTGTGTGTGACATGCTGTGACCCTAACATTTGATTTCTATTCGTTTTGAGATCTAAAATGGAAAAGTCTATAGCCTGTTTTGTTCTTAAAAAGTGATTTATATCATACCACTGAAACATTGTTATGTAAATTATGTTCTTGAAATAAGTAATGATTTTATTAACAGTTAAATATTTCATAATGGATTTTTTTATTTTATATATGATATTCTGAAGAAAATCAAGAAATGTTATTTATTACTAGTATGTTCCAAGTATAACCATCTGAAGATCTTTAGAGCTAATGTCAGTATTTACTGAAGTTTTCTTTACAAGTTCAAATTTTTTAATATCTAGTTAAAAGATTGCATCTTCTTTAATTATCTATATTAATTATGCTTTTTCAACAAATGTCACTGTTTTGTTATTGGCCAGAAGAGGAGCTCTATATTTAGATTTTTTGTTTGTTTTCTTTCTATAACTGATTAGATTTCCGACTTAATTCATGCGAGTCCTTTTTGTTAATTTTCTTTTTGGCTTAATTTCTTTTAGAAACATGTCATTCAGGTTTATCAAAAGGTAGGATTTGTGTGTACACATTTATTTTTCAATTCTCACCCTGAAATGGCTCCTGCAATTAACCCCAGGTTTGGCTTTTCTGGCCCTGTTTTTTCCTTAAAAACTAAACTTTCTGCTGAGAACTAAATACTTATTTCCTTGAAAGGAAACTGGAGAGAAATAATTAACTCTTGTCAGAATATTAAAGGAACTGTGGCACTGTGCAATGAAGGACCTATGCATGCTCTGTGCATTTTCTTTCTTTGGTAGAATTATTTAGCATCCAAATAATTCTGTCATTGTACTAATAACACTTAGCATGCTTCTGTTTGAAGAATGAGATCTTCAGTAATATTAACATGTAATTTTTGATTAGCCACAAGCATGGGAAAGGTAAGTGGTAATTTGTGTTAATTGTCATTTTTAAAATGCAAATTATCAGTTAAGACTGATACTAGAGACAAGTGTAAAATTCAAACCTACAGCCTCATTTGGTTTTACTTTTTCAGACATTAAGACATGAGCAGCTGCATAGCACCAGTGTTTTAATATTTTGGGGAGGTTGAAGAATAAATAGTATTATCGAAAAATCACTTTCCCCAGACCACTGAAGTGTGTCTCACTATTTTTACTAAAGCACTCCTGTAAATAGTATTCTGATTTGATTTGTATTTTTGGAGTTAACAGGACACCAAAAATATTGCTGTCCTTGGAGTGAACACACAAAAAAGCAAGAAACCTGCCAATAAGGGCCAAGGCACACCTGGCCAGTGAAAGGCTGGACTGCCAGATTTCGTGTTTACAAAACCGATAGGTCGGGGCTAGGGATTTAGCTCAGCGGCATAAGCACCTGCCTTGCAAGCAGGCAGTCTGTTGTGAGTTTGATCCCCCGTACCGATAAAAAGGAAAAAGACAAAAAAAAAAAAAAAAAAAAAAAACGATGGGTCACTGAGAGGCTCTGTTCACGGGAGCTCCTTATCAAAACTGTGGGGAAAGTGCTCTCTTCCTGTGGGAAACTACTCTTTGATTATTTTTTAGTTGATCTTCCCAGTTGTCACATTTTTCCTTGGACAGAAAATGTTGCAGTTGAAGGTAGAATTCAACTGATAGCGCATGTCCTTTTCTTTGGGAAGCGTCACACAGTGAGGAGTGGGTGAAAGCCACCTGGGAGGCCCAGTGGGATGGCCCAGTGAGGCTGTGTGGCCTGTCCCTACCCACACCTGTGTCCTGCAGGAGGACCGTGTTGCCTGTTAAGTCAGACTGAGCAGGGGCTCCAATAAGGTCAACCAGGGACCAGAAAGTGCTTCGATGTGTTCATTGCCTGACTGTTGTGTTGCTACGTGGGTGGTCGTGTACTGGCGTGTAAGATTTCTTTTCTCTTTCCCACTTCTCTCTGCTTCCACATTCTATTCATTGAGGCTTCCAACTGAATATGAGAGGAACGGGAGATATGAGGGCTCAAGGTGAGGGAAACCATTTTTACTTCAAATCTCTTCTAGGTGTGTACCTTGTTTCTGTGTCACAAGGGCACTTTTCTGAATGTTCTGCATGACAGTCTTCTTGTCTGTCCATGAAGGATGCTCAGAGAGCCACCTCCTAGTGGCCAGGCGAGGAGGCTGCACCGAGCCCCAGTCACCACCAGAGGGTGCTGGTGCACTGTCAGCGCCCCCCCAGCCCCAACTCGGTGTGTTTGTGTGTATAATGTGTGGCTGCCTGAGCAGCTCTGAGCACCTCTCAGTAGTAAGGTTGGGAAGGCTGGGTTGGAGCAGGGCTCATGGGAAGAAGCCCTTGAGCATAACTGACTCCCCCTGTGGTTCTGTTCTCAAGGGATATAACAGACCTTCAGGAGGATTTGAATGTTCAGATTAGGTGTGTTTTCTTCTAAGATCTTTGTAGGACCCTTGCATCTGCTCTTTCATTTGTTGTAGCTGTTGTTTCACGATAGATAGGGTGGGTCTCTGCTTGACCTGTTGTGCACCAGTCACCACCATGGAATTGCAGGGCCACACCTACCCTTTTGTTCCCCTCCTGGTTTTTCTTTTTTTTAATTTTTTTGTCTTTTTTTGTTTGTTTGTTTGTTTTTATCGGTACCAGGGATCGAACTCACGACCGCACACTTGCAAGGAAGGCGCTTATGCCACTGAGCTAAATCCCCAGCCCCAGCCCTCCTGGTTTTTCTACCACAGCTCTGATGGTGGGACTTTTTCTGAACGAAAGCTTTCAGTAGCCCATGAAACTCCTCAGTCCTGGGTCTGGCTGCTGCACCGAGGCAGCAGGGTGAGTGCCGGCAGACTCCAGCTAGCTGGATCTGCTGCCTCTTATGTGACAGGAAGATGCTAGTGCAACCTGCCTCCTGCTCTGAGCAGGACCAGGCCTTTAGCAAGTGCTCAACATGGCCAGAGTGCCTTGGGTGCCTCTGCCCAGAGCACATTCCATTCCCCCTGCCTCCATGCAGAGGGAGGGCATCCCTTCCCCTGGCTCCGTTGTATGTTGTTGCAATCCTACGGAGACTTCAGAGCGGTCCTGAGAGGTCCCGTGGGAGGCCAGCCTTCCTCAGCCCACCTGCCTCAGCCCACCTGTCTTGCTGGCTTCCCAGGGAATGGTCTCCAGCAGATGCCTTTCCTGCGCTCTTTCCTTACCTCAGAGGCACCCTGTCTCCCAGAGTGTTGGAGAACCTGTGCTAATTTTGGCAACCTGTCGAGTATCTAACTCAGCATTTTAGCTCACCCTCTAAATCTACTAGATAAGCAGACCAGTCATTCCAGTTCTCTGTAGAGCAGTGAACTGCAATGTTTCATTTTTTTATTTCAGCAGTAAGATTATGTCACCTTAGTTGGACTTCCTGATCTTTGTTTTGTTTTTAGGTGGTGTCTCACTTTATGAACCTTTAATGGTGGCCTTGAATTCTCAGCAGTCCTTCTGCCTGGGCCTCTGGAGTAGCTGGGGGCTACAGGCACATGCTATCAACTTTTACTTTTTAACCCCAAATTGAAAGTTTAACAAACTAGGATTAAAACAATGAGATATAGAGCCAGGCATGGTGTTACACACCTGTAATCCCAGTGTTCAGGAGCCTGAGGCAGGAGGGTTGTTGCAAGTTGAAGACCAGCCTGAGTTACAAAGTGAGCTCATCTTGAACTGCATAGCGAGACCCTGTCTCAAAAAGACACTCCCCCCACCCCAGCCCCCAAAAAAAGAAGTGAGATGGGTAGAGGTGGTATGGGAACACAGCCCTGATGTGCAGGCAGCGTCTGTGGCTGTTTCAGGGAAAGGTGATTGTAAGCTGTGAGGACTAAGTCCCTGGATACTGAGTCTCCATGACGGTCGTGGCAGGGTATAGCAGAGGGAGCAGGACAGAAGGCTGATTCCAGAGCCCACCTGAGAGACCCAGACAGTGGGCTCTGTGCCTGCTGTTCCCGATACTGTTCCCGAAGGGTTCTCATTACCAAAATACTTTGATTTCCGTCAGCACAAGCGGGGGCTGTGCAGCTTCTGCAGGCAGCAGTGTGTGTGTGAGGCTTGTGCACAGAGAGGGTGGGGCAGATGAACACTTCATGGTGACTGTAAGTTTTTGTGGAAAAATGGGCATCAGTTTGACGTTGAAGAATATTGCTGACCTAGCTAAGGTGGGGATGGTTCATTTTCCTGCACAATGAAAGATAAACCTGCCACTATGCATTTCAGTCGCAATGTGTCTGCCGAGCAAAAGGACGAGAACAGAGAAGCAAAGCCTCGCTCTCTGCGCTTCACCTGGAGCATGAAAACCACTAGTTCCATGGACCCCAGTGACATGATGCGGGAGATCCGCAAAGTGCTGGACGCCAACAACTGCGACTACGAGCAAAGGGAGCGCTTCCTGCTCTTCTGTGTCCATGGCGATGGGCATGCCACTGAGAACCTGGTGCAGTGGGAGATGGAAGTGTGCAAGCTGCCAAGACTGTCTCTGAACGGTGTCCGGTTTAAGCGGATATCAGGGACATCCATAGCTTTCAAAAATATCGCTTCCAAAATTGCCAATGAGCTAAAGCTGTAACCCAGTAACTATGGTGTAAACTAAGTAGCAACTGAAAGTGTTTCCTGACACTGACGGAAATGTATAGAGTAATATTTAGGCAATAACATCTGCACCCTCTAAATCGTGACATTAAGGTCTGAGGACGTGCGCACGCTGGGAGCAGACGCTGGCCTTCTCTACGAATGCACTACATTAAAGTCATGTGACCTGTGCCTCTGTCTTGTTTCCATTGCCCTGGGAATCCTTGTGTGCCACGGTGGCCACGCCTCGAGTGTGGTGTGAGTGCAGGGGTGTGGGCAGCAGTGTGTGCGAAGCATCTCCTCACACTCAGCCGGTGTTGTCACTAGTACCTCTGCAGGAGATCTTTTGGTGCTAAACTTCACAATTGCCAAGGAGGAAAATACTGAATTACTGCTAAGAATTAACCTTAAACTAGTTGATAATTAATACAGGTTTACAGTTCATGCCTGTGGTTTTGTGTTTGTTTTGTGTTTTTTTAGTGCAAAAAGGTTTAAATTTATAGTTGTGAACATTGCTTGTGTGTGTTTTTCTAAGTAGATTCACAAGATAATTAAAAATTCACTTTTTCTCAGTAAAATCTTGCATTGTCTCCTGATGCTGTATTTAAGACTGAGACTCAGGCAGCCCCTTGGGTGTGTTGCCTTCCTCCACCACCAGGCTGAAGAGGAGTAAAGGGATGTGGGTTAGCTGTGCTGGAGCAAACCCCATGTTCAGGTAGCTGGCTCATCCTTCCCGAACTCTCCCTGTGCCCTGCCTCGGGCTACACTTGGCACCACCTGGGAATGGCTAGGTCCTGACAGCTCTGGGTTGCTCTCCATGCAGTGTGTTGTGTGCCTCTCGTTCCTGATAATTCATACATGAGTCACACCTGAAGTTTTTTTCCAACACCTACCTGATCATATAGGAGGTAATGAACTTGTCATGCAGTTTGACACTAATGTCATGGGGAAATGGCATAGCAGGTGTTTTGGGGTACTGTTTCGGGATCCAGTTTGTCACCTGGAGTAGAAAAGTCTGGACAGATCTTCAGTGACAGGCATCTGTTGTCTGCCATGGGTAAGACGCACTGATGGTGGGGCACAGTGGCCACAGCCCTGTGTCCTTGCAGCACATAGTACAGGACATGGGGAGAAAGAAACTGCAGGTCAGGGCTTCAAGAAGGTATGGGGTTCAGGCAGGGGCATGTTAAGTAGCTCTGTGGGGGGAGCCAGCGCAGGGAGGAGGCATTTACACATAGCTGGCAGAGAGCATAGCAGAGGCTGAAGGCCAGGTCCCCTGTGACTAGAGCAGACACAGGAACAGATAGGACATCCACTGGGCCTCAAGGGCCACTGTAGATTATCACTTACCCAGGAGAAGGCTTCCACCGCAAGACTGTCATGGTTGGATTGTTGGAAAGTGGCTGTGGTGGCTGTGTTTCATGTTTGTCATAGGGGGCCGTTGTGTACGGCCTGTGGCCTGGCTATGCTTGGAAGTAAGGGCAACTGCATTTGCCCTTGGATTGGCTGTGGGGGAGTAAGGGAGAGCAGGGTGACTGGCTTTTTTGTTCTGAGCAATGGGAAGGTGACTAGGGAAGGTCCCAAGAGGGCAGGTCTGAATGCCTTGGGGGTTTCCATGCCAGAGGAGGAAAACAAGGAGACACACTGGGGAGCCACAGCAGGCCGGTGGGTGGATGAAAGCTCACCCTCACTGAGAGGTGGGGCAGGATTAGCCCTCCACCCCCCACCCCAGCAGAGGAGGTAGGAGCTGTCTAGCCTGTGGCCTGGTAGCCAGGCATGGTGGTACACACCTAAGCTCCCAGCCCTCCAGGGCACTGAGGCAGGAGGATTATAAATTTGAGCCCAGCCTGGGCAAGGTAATGAGACCCTGTCTCAGAATTTAAAAAGGGTTGAGATGTAGCTCAGTGCACAGCCCTGCAGCCCTGGGCTCAGTCCCAGTACTGGAGGAGAAGTGGCAGCTGTATGAGTAAAGACAATATGGGTAGTTACTGCCTTTACCACCAGATGAGACTGCCAGCTCACCCATCACAAGGGGCAGGCGTTTCATTCAAGTTCCACATTTTTTATTCTGCAATGAATTTTGGAAAGAAATATTCTAGAAGTAATGAAAAATCACTTGATGCCCAAAGACTATTGTGTGTTTTCTTCCTGGTCTCCCTTGGCCTGTGTCACAAAGGTACCTGGCAGGCTGTGCTAGTGGTTTCATTTATCCCAGCAGCAGCGTTATCCCTGTCCTGAGAACTGTGTTAATGTTCTAGTGAGGCCAGGCAGACAGGAGCCAAGATAACTTTCCCGGAAGTGAGTGCCACTCAGGCTCTCGGGACCTCGATTCATGGCAGAATCTGAACTCAGCTCATTGGGATCGTTTCCACAGCACTCTCAAAGCCCAGGCAGTGTGGATCTGTTGGAAAAAGTGATAACATGGAACAAGATCCTGTCCTGTGGACACCACCTGGCAGCTGTAACCCTGCAAACAGCCCACTTGGTGACTTTGTGCAGCTCAGGGAGGAATGGCAAGGGGCCGTTTGTGAAGTTGTTGCTGGTCCATCCTGGAAGAGAGCAGGCCTAGTGTGGGAGAGCTTAGCCATTGCTACTTGCATTTTGGGGATGTTCCTTGTCTGTGTCTTCGTGCATTTGCCACAGGGCCCTTTAAACCAAGGGGAGGAGCTGGGCATGTGGTGTATGCCTATAATCCCAGTGCTTGGGAGGCTGAAACAGGACAACCTTGGTGGATTTGAGACCATCTGGGCTGCATAGTGAGACTCCGTCTCAAAAAAAAACAGATGAGGAAAACTTAAGCTTCTTGAGAGTGCCATGAGGTGCACTGGAGGTATCCTGTTTACCAGGCAGAGGAGTTCTGGTGTGACTGTCCCTGGAGTGGAGTTTAGGCCACCTTGCTAGCTAAGACAGGATAGCCTGACAGTGACAGTGGCTGGCAAGCAGCTGTGTGGTGTGCCAGGTAGTTCCTGCGAATTGTGGTGGAGCAATAGGACCTGCAGAAGACAGGAGGAAGCCACACGTGAGGAGAAGCGTTGGGAAGAGAGAGTCGGGTGGATTGTGGGATGGGTTCTCGGGCCCTTTCTTCCTGTCTGGCCAGGAGGCTCCTAGGAGCAGCAGGGGTAGGTAAGAGCACACGCTGTGTGGAGGTGTGGTGAGCTCAGCACTTGGGTAGGGTGGTGGTGTGTGGCAGCAATCCCAGCTTTGGGAGGCTGAGAAAGGGTCACCGAGAGTTCAAGACCAACCTGAACTGCAGAGTGAGCCCATGTCTGAGAAGAGTGTAGGGCAGCCTCGATGGCTGGTGGCTGGAGCTGCTTTTGAGTCCAGACTGACAGCAGCTGTGGAGGCCAGGCTTGCTGTGGCCTATCCTGTGTGTCTGTACCCGCCCTCCAGCACTTCCTGCTTGACTGAAGCTAGGAGAGGAACACAGCAGGAACTGGGTCCCCAGTGGGCCAGTGCTCATCCCTCCATCCTCTGCCTGCCCTGGTGATCCCCACTTCACCTACTCATGGCTGCACACCACACAAGTCCCTGTAGTGGTCACCATGGTCACAGTGTAGATTTCCCAGCTGGGGTCCAGGTGTTTGTCAGAACACCTGAGCACATAGCATTTGGGTTTCAGCCAAAGAGAACAGCACTGGCCAGGGTTCTGTGGGGAAAGTGCCAGGCTGGAGAGAGGTCATCGAGGTGCAGGGGAGACCCCGTGGACTGTGACTGAGGGAACAGCCCCCATCAGGCACTTTGTGCTGGCACCAGCTTTGGTGTGGTATGCTGGCTGGCTTGGCTGGCTTTGGGTTCTCATGGGTTGCAGGCGGGATGCTTCTTTGCTTCCTGCTTCCTGGTTGGCCGCAGTTGGCCTGTGGCTCCCGGCTGTGGGCAGCTGTCCTCTCACCCAGAGCTTTGATCAGTCTGCCCAAGGAGCTGCCGCTCAGAGGAGGCACAGCTGGTGCACCGTGGCTCTTCCCCCAGAGCCTTTTGCAACTTCCTGCCTTCTCCCCAGCTACCCACTTAACCCACCCCTAGCAGTTATTTTAAGACAGCCCTTGAGAGCCCATCCTCAGGCAGAGGGAAGTCACTGCTGGCCCCTGCAATGCCTGGCACTCAGTGTGCCCCAAAACCCGAAGCTCTGTGGCTCCCTCGCTTTCCTGAAGCACACTGGCTTCCTGGGCCACTCTGGAGTTTCCTGCTGTTGGGAGCTTCCACTAGTCAAGGCTTACGAGTTCTGTTTATCACTTTGTTTTTTGGGTTTTTTTAATTTTTTTTTTGTACTAGGAATTAATCCCAGGGATGCTCTGCCACTGAACTACATCCTCGGCCGCCTCTTTTTTTTTTGCTTGTTTTTGTTTTTTTGAGACAGAATCTCACTAAACAGTTCAAGTTAACCTTGAACTCGTTATGTAGCCAAGGCAGACCTTGAACTCACGCTGATCCTCCTGCCTCAGCCTCCCAAGTGCTGGAATTACAGGCATGTACCACCATCTCCAACTGAGCCCTCTTAATTTTTTATTTTGAAACAACTTCTCACTAAATTCGTTAGACTGGGCTCAAATTTGTGATCTCTTATCCTCAGCAAGATCTTAAATATTTGAACATTAGATGTGTATTCCCTCAGGGCTAGGAATGTAGCTCAGTGGTAGAGCACTCGCCTAGCATGAGTGAGGCCCTAGGTTTAAGTCCCAGCACTGAGAGGAAAAAAAGTTGGGTTCCCTCCCTGAATTTTTGCCTCTCCAAGTTAGCTGCCCTAGTTCTTTGCAGGTGTTTTCAGAACAAGATGAAAAGACATTTCCTTGTTGCCTGTTCCTGTGCTCTTTGGCATGCATATTTTAGGAGGCCAAAGGAGAAGAAGCTACTCTACATTGACTCTGATGGCACAAAAATAAACACGGTGTCTGCCAGGACAGAGGGGCACAGGTGGCTCTCCACTGAAAGCCAAAGGGAAAACACAGAGAGGTGACAGGCACGTGAGAAGGATGGCAGCACCAAGGACCCTCACGTCCCGCCCAGGCCAAGTGCACCATTGACACCACTGAGCTATCTTGTCACTGTCCCAATGAAGTGTCTGAGACAGCTCACTTCTGTTAGGGCGTCAGTCCCCATTACTCAGCAAGGAATGACCTAGCACCTACAGGCAGAGTTGTGCCACTTTTAGACCAAAACAGATGCCCCTGCATGGGCAGCAGTGTCCAGGGCCCCGGGGACAGGCCCGGCATCTGCCTGGCTGTGCCATGCCTTGCAGGGCAAGAACAGCGCTGTCTTGCTTAGCTGCCACCTGGAGCAGCTCCCTGTGGGCAGCAGCACGCACCACGCTCGGGTCCTGCCTGCACACAGACACGCTGAGGAGCAGGGTGTGCGGCCCTGGTCCCTGGCACCCTGACGCCTGTGCTGTGCGCACAGGTCTTGGCACCACTCTCTGTCCTCTAACCTTTCACAGCTGTACTGGCCCTGGTGCAGCCCGAGGGCCACCACTCCTGCGAAGTGCCCTGAGCCGGAGTCCTCTCCCCTGGACTGAGCTGTGGAGGACTGCTGGGTCACTCAGAGAGGCTCAGACTCCCACTTCCCTTCAAGCCAGGTTTGACGTGTGCAGCGCCTCTTCCGATAGTATGTCACAAATTATAGTATGTCACAAATTAGTTTAGGCCAGCACTGGAAATTCACTGGAAAGTAGTTGTGGAATTTATGACTCCAGGCTAGGGGAAGAACAGATAGCACTTGCTGCTCCTTTCTGGTCTCCGAGAAGGGCAAGGCCTCTGAGCCACCGGCAGTGACATCGAGGCAGCTGCACGGGTTGTCCCTGTCAGGCCAGAGGCTGCATGCGGGCCTCGCCTGTCTTTTGGACAGTCATGCACTTGAAGGTCTGTGTAATGCGTGAGTCAGAAGTGTTGACGTCTAGATTTCACTGTCATCTTCACGGAGGGATCCTGGCTGGCTGGTGTTTTGCTGCTGTATTTTGCATTTTCTGGAATAGCCTGAGAACCAGGAAGAGATAGCAGGCTTTGTTTCCTTTTTACCTGTGGAAAGGAAAATACCAGCCCTTGGGGGCACTGCAGGAGGCCTGCTAAGTACCGGGCTGGCTCACAAATAGTGCAGAGTAAGGAGCCAACCTGGCAATTGCAGCTTCTGTAAGCTGCTGTTAGGGCACTCGGGTCCCACCCACAAGTGTCTAGACTGTTCCTCAAAGTCAGGAGCAGTAAAGTGAGCCAGGATAGGGAGCTGGCTGAGCCCAGGCCAGTCTTTTCCCCTTTCGACCTCAGTTTCCCCTTGTGGGAGGTGCCCATGCATTCCCACCGCAGCCTTGGCAGGCTCCCTTGAGCTGGGACACACAGAGCTTTTCAAAACACCTTCAAAAAATTAGGGCTTCAAAAAGTTAGGGCTCGGGGCTGGGGATTTAGCTCGGTGGCATAAGCGCCTGCCTTGCAAGTATGTGGTTGTGAATTCGATCCCCAGGACCGATAAAAAAAGAAAAAGACAAAGTTAGGGCTGGCAGTGAGGCGCAGTGGTAGTGCGCGTGCACAAGGTGCTAAGTTTGATCGATCCCAGTGCTGCAAAGACTAAAATTTCCTTTGGCTTATATAAGTAATACATGTCAACTGTAGAGCAAAGTATAAAGACGGAAATCACCTGTTACCCCTCCACCCACAGCAAAGGACTGTTCTGGGGTTTTTTCCATACATACTTTGTGTGGGCTCTCAGGGTACAAGCTGTTTTTATAACCTGTTTTTCCTTGTCAGCTTTCTCAGCCTGTCACCCTCTCAGTGAATTTCCCACACCCTAGGCCTAAGGAGGGGTGAGACTTGCCCGCCTTCTTCCCTGTTCTAAGTAATCTAATCTTTTTAAATTTTATTTAAGGAGAAAAAGAAAATAAAAACAGAAAAAGGGTACAAGTTATACAGAATTTCAGAAAAAATAAACAGTAGGAAATCACTAGTTAATAGATTACATATTGCCATCTTAGAAATAATTGTTCAGGTTACAAAATTAAAGCATGTAAAGTGGACATTCCAACAGTGAGACTGCAAACAGTTCTGTTCAGTGATCCAACAAAATTCAGTAATATGGTTATCTATCTTATACACTTAAATGTACATGCAGTTATATCCTTTAGAGCACTTTCTTTTCCTCTCTTTTGTACAATGACAATTACACATTTTGGGTTTTATTACTCCCACAGTTCTTACTATTTGTTTTTTTTGAAGAGAGTAAAACCAAATGTGACCTAACAGAACAGAGTCAGTCAAATCAAAAGGATGGACATAATACATAATATAAAAACAAAATACAGGGGCTAGGGATTTAGCTCAGCGGCATAAGCCCCTGCCTTGTAAGCAGGTAGTTGTGAGTTCCATCCCTGGTACCCATAAAAAGGAAAAAGACAAAATATATATATATATATGGTGATCAACAATGGTTACCATACTGCCTCTTGCTATCTTAAGAAGAATTGCCTATATCATCAGTTATAATAAAATTGAACAAAACAGTAAAGAATAAAACCAAAACATTTGGGGCAGAAGTACGGCATGTCTAAAGATGTTTCAGATGGTCACAAGGCAGCTGGAGGCCAGGGACTCTGCCCCCCCAGGATTGTCAGGCCCTGCCCAGACCCAAACCTCAGTTGGCAGCCTGTGTAGGAGCATTGCTCCTTAGCCAGAAGCCATGATGTCAACACGTGATCCCCTCTGGGAGCCAATGCCAACAGCCCCTCCCTGCCTGCTCTCCCCCTGGAAGGGCAGGGCCCTCAGTTTGAACCCATGCATTTATATCTGAAACCAGCAGGAAAAGAGGTTTAAGGACTGCTGTACACAGACAAGTGGCACTGCCATCCCCAGGCAGGTGGGGGTATAAGAAGCCCTGCCTCCTCCCAAGCCTTCACACAGCTTCCAAAAGCACACGCAACCCAGCCCAGCAGAAGTCAGGCAGGAGAACTGTGGGCAGCAGAGCCAGGCCCCTGAGAGCCACTGCTGTTCTGAGCAGTGGCCCAGGAGTCGTGCGGGTGCTGCTCAGGCCTCAGGAGCACAGACGCCCAGTCTCCAGGCTCCCTAGTGGGAGCATACCCGCCCTGCACTGGGAGCTGAGGCCAGGCCTGGAGGCAGCCGCACTGGGATAGCATAGCAGAGGCCTCCTCCTCCAAGCCAGGCCCCGCCTGCTGCGTCTTTGAGGCGGGGGGGGGGGGGGGGGGGGGGACCAGAGGCTCTGGGCATGCCCACCCCAGGAGGGCAGATGTCAAGGGGATGTGGGCCCACACCCTGCAGTGTGCCCACTGTGAGGTCAGCCCTGCCCTGAGTTAGCTCTGCTCTGGCTTGTGTCTAGATGTCCCCTCAGGCAGTCACAGGTGGGGCTGTTTTGGAGGTAGCAGGGTTGAGAATGGGTGATCACTAACAGCCCAGTGACTGGCTTGTCGCCACCCTAATCCCAGTAGCCTAGAGTATAAAAGTGGCAGAAGCAAGCTGCTCAGGTCCCTTGCTTTGCTACTTCTGCCCACCATCAACTGTTTCTCTGCAGGCCCCTCTGCCATGCCACCCTGCCTTGGTGCCAGCCAATTATGGACTGAAACCTTTATAAACTTGAGCAAAAAAAACCTTTCCCCCTGTCACTTTGGATGTTGGATATTCTGTCTCAGCAACGATAAAAGTAAGGCGAATTCTGAGGGCGCCTGACCAGCATAGAGGTCTTCTACTATCCCCCGGGGCCCCTGTTGGGAGGGCAGCATAGGCCCAGTTACAGGGAACCAGGAAGCCCTCTCCTCACTGAGGGACAGATCTCCCCCACCCATCTTTCCTTCCCAAGTGCTGGGATGAAATCTAGAGCCTTGACCTTGAGCTACATCCCCAGCTTTTTTTTTTTTTTTTTAGACAGAGTCTGGCTACGTAGTCTGGGTTGAATTCCAACACAGCAATCCTACCTCAGCCTGCTGGGATTACAGGCTATTTTTTGAGACGCATTCCCCTAACTTGGTTAGGGTGGCTTTTACTTATAATCCTCCTGCCTCAGCCTTCCAGAGTCCACACCAGGCTCCCTTCAGCGTTCTGAGGGTGCTTCTCACAGCGAGCCCCTCAGCAATGACAGGACCCGAGGACTTGGCCAGCCACATCCTCAGTGCGCCTGCTGTCCCGCCCTCACGGTCTCAGCTTCCCTTCCAGAGTGGCTCACTTCCTGTGCTCACATGGGTGGTGGTTCTCTGCAGTCTCTCTCCCCTGAGTCACCAGCCTAAAGTCAACAGCAGCCTGGCCCAGCCCAGCCCCCACACTAGGAAGAGGACAAGAAGCTGAGGAGAAGGAGCTGGCCTCCATCCTGGCTGGCCTGAGCCTTCTCGGCAAAAGAGCAATGAGGAAAGTAGGAATAGTGCAGTGGGAGGGTGCGCAAAAGCTGCTCAGAGCTGCCTCAGCCTGCTGCCCCCCAGCCTGGGGCCCTGGGCCTGGGATCTGAGCTGACAGTTCCCAAGTCCCTGCAAGATGCTTGTGCATTAACTCCCATCGTCAGCTGCCAAGGATATGGTGGGCACAAAGGGCACCAGTGCCCCTGGGCCCTGACCTCCAGGGTGGGTGCAGGCAGCCCTGGCCAGCGGGCAGCAGCACAGCCTGGGGACAGAGGAAGGGATCTGTAGCCAGTGGGGAGGAATACCAGCTCTAGGCCGGCACCATCCCAACCCCACACCTCAATCCTGTATAGGCTGCTGGAAACACAATGGGGGATGGGACCGGGCTAGGGGGAAAAGGGTCATGGCCCAGTTCACCCTCTGCAGGATGGGAGGGCCCAGAGAGCTGGCCTAGGAGGGGGCAGCCAGGCTGAGACAGAGCCAGGAGGGAAGGCAGCCTGGACAGATGATTTAGGAGACAAGTAGCTGCTGGGGAGAGAAGCAGAGGGGAGCCAAGAGGATGGCTGGCCTGGAAGCTATCAAGTTTTTGGGCCCCGGCCATCCTGCCCCTCACCCTGTGGCTCCACCCCCAGCCCAGTGCCCTTAGATGCTCAGCCTGGGGCTCAGAGGCTCGGAGTGCCTAGCCTCACTTGCTCCACCCCAGAAGACACTGGAGCTGGTGGACAGGGCAGAGCAGGCGGAGCAGTGACCCTGCCACTGTGCTGTCTCTTAGGCGGTGAGAAGACAAGAGACCAGGCCTTAAGCAGGCCAGCTTCCCACAGGCAGGAGAGGCACCACTCGGACACAGCACAGGCCAAAACCCTAGTTTATTTCAGCATCAGCAATAGCTCAACCATCAAAAAATAAACTCTACCCAGGGTGACAGAAGTCTCTACAGTGAAGCTAAGGGCTCAGCCGCCAGGTGGCAAATATCAGGGGTGCTTGTCGGGCAGTGCCCGGGCAATAAGTTAGGAAGCAGCAGGCTGGTGGTGGTGCAGGCCAGGCTTCACTTCTGGGCAGGCACGAGGTCATCGATGGCCTGGCCCTGCTCCAGCCGCTGCTCCATCTCGATGAGCAGCTTTACCCCATCTACCACCATCTGCACCAGCTCCACCTCCGAGAAGCCCAGGCGGTCTGCATTGGAGACATCGAAGACCCCGCCCACGGCAGCTGTGTCCACACCACCTGTGGAGGGAGGACGGCCAGGTCAGGGGGGCACAGGACGTGTGCTGGGGGTGGCTGATGCCACCACCCACCTCTCACCTGTGCCTCGCTTTTGCAGCCGCAGTCGCTTGAGCACCTCAGGGAACTTCTCATGCTTGCCCAGGTGAGGCAGCTTGATGTGCACGCCTGCCCGAAGCCCGGTGCCCAGGTTGGACGGGCAAGTGAGGATGTAGCCCAGGTGCGGGTTCCACATGAACTCATAGTTCTTGGACTTGAAGAGTGTTTCAATCTGCGGGCACAAAGACACTTGGGAGGGAGGCCTGGCTGAGCCCTGGGACCAGCAGGGAAGGCCGAACTGGGCACGCCCCATCCCACTGGTGCCCTGGACTAGGCTCCATCCCGAGACTGACCTGCGTGAGGCCAGTGCAGAAGCGGGTGAACACCTCCTTCATGTTGCCCCCTTTCTGCATGGAGATAACCCGCAGGTGGTCCTCTTCATTGACCCACACCAGGAAGGTCTTGTTGTCATTGTGCCTGGGGGAGAGGACAGAAGGCCAAGATTCCTTCCAGAGTTCAGTCTCCCACACCACTCCAGACCCTATCTTTTCTTTTTTTTGTCTTTTTCATTTTTATCGGTACCGGGGATCGAACTCACAACCACCTGCTTGCAAGGCAGGTGCTTACGCCGCTGAGCTAAACCCCCAGCCCTAAAATCTTTTTTTTTTTTTTTAATTTGTACCGGGGATTGAATTTATGACCACCTGCTTGCAAGGCAGGTGCTTATGCTGCTGAGCTAAATCCCCAGCCCCCACCACTCCAGACCCAAGGAGCTAGAAGCATCAGTTTCAGAGATGCCCCTCAGGATACTGCCACCAAGAGGGCAGCCCCATCAGCAGGGTGGGGTTAAGCAGAGTGTCCCAGACACCCCACACCAGCGTACCCCAACAGATTAGTGGGGGCTAGGGGTACAAGGCGGGCGGGTGGCCACTTAGGAGGCCCCTGGCGGGGAAGGAGCCCTGCCACGAGGGACTTGGAGGAGGTTTCTGCGTCACTGGCATCTGGCCGGATCCCCGGGGAGGGAGAGAAAACAAAGGTTGCTGCTCCCAGAGGACAGCAACTGAGAGATGCCAAGGAGACCAGATCCGAGGAGCCCAGTCTCCCAGACCTCGCACTGCACAACCCTGCACAACCCGACCCGGGGCACGGCTGGCCTTTTCCCCAGGCACGGCCCGGGGCGCGGGCAGGGGCAGCGTTACCGCGGATATGCATGCGGGGTACCGGGCCGCACCAGATGCCGCGGGCGTCGGGCCAGTCGCGGGCCATGCCGGAGGCCAGCAGCAGCGGCGACACGGGCTTGTCGAAGAGGAAGTGGTCGTCGATGAGCTGCTGCTGCTCCGCCTCGGTCATGCTCTTGAGCGCGTAGTACCTACCGGCCAGGTCGCCGTCCAGGCTGGACAGGGCTATGGAGGGGGGCGCTCAGGACCCTGCCAGGCCCCGCCACCCACACTCCCGCCTCTGGGGGCCCGGAGCTCGCGGGAGGGGCCGGGGCCCGGCCGCCACCCCACCCGCGGACGGGGCTGAGTCTGCGTCCCCCGCGGTCCCTCGGGGAACCGGACCCGCGCAGATAAGTGCGGCGGCGCAGATAAGTGCGGCGGCTCCGGCGGCTGTAAACAAGCCCGCGGGCCTACCCTCCACCGCCAGCTTCTCGATGGCGCGGCGCTCCCCGCGGCTGCAGTGAGGAGGGAGGCAGAAGCCGCGGATGCTGCGGCCGGTGCGCACCCGCGAGCTGAGCACGTAGTTGGGGTCCAGGTCGTCGCCACCCTGGCACGGACGGAGAGAGGGAGGCAGGGGCGAGTGAGCGCCGGACCCCGGACCCCGGAGCCTCCCGCGCGCCCCGAGCCCCGAAGGCGACCCGGCCCCCACCTGCAGGTTGTCAGGGTTGAGGTCGGTCTTGTGCTCATCGCTGGGCTGGTAGCCGCCGTGCCGGTCCTCGATGATGGGGTCGAAGAGCGCCTTAAACACGTCGTAGGACTCCTCGTCGCCCGCCACGCAGCCCACGGTCATGATGAACGGGTGGCCTGGGGGAGGGGCGCGGGGGCATGACGTCATCGCCGGCGGCAGCGGCGCGGAGACCCTGCGGCTGCGCGCGGGGGGGGAGGGGCGGCCGGACCCCGCCAGGCCGCGCGTACCCGGGTTGTCCACGCCGGTCTGGATGACGTCGTCCAGCGTGAAGCCGCTCGGCGTGCTCTTGGCGCGCAGCTCAGCGTACAGCTCGGGGGTCAGCACCTTGGCCATGTGGTTGTTGTGGCGGCTAAGGTCGGGGTACTCGTCCTCGGCGGGGAAGTTCATCTTCATCGCGTTGTGGCTGTTGGAGAAGGGCATGGCGGCGGCGAAGGGCTGCGGGAGGCTCGGGTCAGCGGCCCTGGCTGGGCCACGGTCGGCGGGGTCTGCAGGAGGGCCCGCCCCACCCCGCCCAGACCCCCAGGCCCAGCGCGCTGGCTCAACGCCCCTCCCCGCCCCAGCCACACACGACGCCGGCTCCGCGTCCTGCGCCCCGAGCCCCGAGCCCCGAGCCCCTGGGTCGCCCCTGGGTCCTGCTCACCCGGGTTACGGGCGGGGGTGCTCGTCCGTCTGCAGCTCCAGCGCGGCGCAGGCGAACGGGGCTGCTCCGCTCCCGGGGCTCTTAAGGGGCGCGTCGCGAGCCGCCCATTGGCCGCTATTTATAGCCCATTCATTCCATTGGTCCGTGCTCCGGGGTGGTGCCGGCGCTTTGTCCGCCACCCGCAGCCCCCGACGACCTATGGCGGCCCACCCCATCTGTCCCCCTCAGGGACCTCGCGCAGCCACTCCGCCCGGGACCCAGAAGTTGCAACTCGGAGTCGTTGGACATCCAGGGGTCCCTTCCCCAAGCACACGCACATAGCCCCAGTAGGGAAACTGAGGCCAGAAAGCACTGGAGGACGCCCGGATCCCACCTTCCTTGATCACCCCAGCCCACCAGAGAACTGTGGCAACTGAGTCCTTCCCGAAGCTTCTAAAGCAGATCTTGCCACCTCACCCCACCCCACCCTGGCGGCCCAGAGCCGCCGACCTTTCTCAAGGTGCCTGCAGGCATCTCCTGGGTGTTCTTGGTGCAGCACAGAACGGAGGCGCAGTCTGGCTGCTGCCCAGCCCCGTGGCACCCGCGTGCCCTGACCTTGGGCAACCGAGGTGGGGAGCTTGCTCTGGGAACCGGGCCCTGAGACCCCTCAGCCCGGCCGTCCCTGGGAGAAACTGTTCCCTGAGAGGCCCCCAACTGCAGGTCCTCTCCATAGGGAACAGGTTCCTCCTTCGCATCCACCCCTGCAGAAGCAGACCCTCGAGACACCAACCTGTAATTAAGGATAGACAGGCGAGCTTTTTCAGCATGATCTCACTGTCCGAGCCACACAAATCAAGACCAAGATGATTGCACCTTCTCCTGTCCCCACACCCAGACTGACAAGTACAAGTCTGACCCCACCCACTCATCCTCACCCCATCCCACCCACCCGCACCCCATCCCACTCCCCCACTCCCTCCCCCGCCAGCGCTGGCTTTGAGATGAGACAGCAATGGGCAGGCATGCATGCCTTGCCTGCATCTATGCGTCACTACCTCCTTTTTGGAAAGCAATTTGGCAGTGTCTATCAACATTAACAACATCCAACTCTGTGACCCAGCGATGCCACTTCTAGGAATGCCACCTAGAGAAAGTGTCCATTCTCACTGCCAGTAGATCCAGAAATGCACATGGGGGAAACAGATGGATATGGGGGTGAAGCCCGTCCCTGGGGACTGGCCACAGGTAAGGAGTATCTCTCTCCTGTGGAGTATTATGCACCTCTTAAAAAGAGAAGAGTGCCTATGGCTCTTGTCCATCTGCAGCCTCACATGTTGTTGCTGCATGAATAAAGCAGGAAGAGGAGCCCTTATCGCCGGCACTGCAGAGAGTTCTGCCAGGTGCCAGGTTCTAGGGATAAGGTGACAACCTGTCCTGGCACTGGAGAGACAGGAACGTGAGCAAGCAGCCAACTACAGCAAGTGACCGCAGGGCAAGAAGTAGCTCCAGAAATGGGGCACAGGGAGCAGGAAGCCAGGAGTTCCAGGCATAGGGCAACGGGTAGGCACTCGGAGGAGTGGACCCTGGAGCAAAGCCCACGGGGCAGGGTGTGGTTGCTGTAGCTGGACTTTGCCTCATCTCTCATTCACTTTTTGACCCTCATCAAACTCTTGCAAGTCAGCAAGTCTTGGACCAGTAAAACAGTTATAGAACACCAAGTGGCCAGAGGCTGGCCAGACAGCAGGTGTCCCCTAAGCCTGAAAACTCTCACTGGAGGCCCCTAGCCCCTTGGCTGGATCTGAGAAGTATCAGCAGCTGCCCACCCACTCTAACTCAAGGCCTGACTGCAGAGCTCAAGTTTCTATTTGAAGAAACAGAAGGGATACCTGCCAGGGTGGTTGAGGGAAGGGGGGCTGTGGCCTGGCTCTGGCTCTGTCTGCAGCAGCCTGTTGGGGTTCTGCCTTCCTCCCTGCCCTCTTTCCCGTGCCCCTCCCTTCTCAGGTCAGTACTAGATTGCAGGTGTGGTCGAAGGGTGAGGCTGCAGGCTGCTACTGGCCTTCCACAGCACAGAGGAAGCAGCAAGCCACTGCCCAGGGGTGACCCAGGAGAGCTTCCCAGTTGGGGCCTCAGCAGTCCCAGCCTTCTGAGGCAGGTCCTTGTGCTCTTTACACAGCTGTGCAGCGGAGCAGGAGTCTGGTGACAAGTGCTGGGCCACAGGTCTAACTGTCCCTGAAGGATCTTGTAATGCCCATCCTTGGGCACACACACACCCATGCTGCAGGGTGGAAGCAGTAGGGGTGAGAACGAAGTGCCCTTTGAGTCCCTCAGATGTCAAGATGAGGTCTTTACCAGGCAGGGGCTGCTTGGAAGCCTCAGTGGCTCCAGAACAGGGGAGCTGGGGAGGGATCTGGGGAGGGTTGGTCTCTGCCATAGCAGAATGTCCCTTCTACTGACCCAGCTAGGTCCCCCACTATGGGCCCTCTACTCTCTCAATCCTGCTGGAGCTGGTTTGTTGCTACCTGGACAAGGGGCTGGGTGATATCGCAGGCCAGTTGGTTTATTATGGTCTAGGTTCCTCTGAAATCCTGGCTGGTTGTACATTAACTACAGGACTTGGAAGAGCCCTCAAAGGAGTCCCAGGTCTTTTATCTTTGGAGTGGGGCCCAGCAGGTGCAAGCAGGCCTAGACTGGGCAAGGTAGGGCCAGGCTCTAGATGAGCTCTAAACATGCACCAAGGCCACAGCCAGCCAGGCACTGCTTCCTCTGGACGCTGTCATCCCCAGCACTGCAGAACCCAAAAGGGGAAGTTCACTGGGGTCAGCAGGGAGGCAGAGGCTACCCCAAGGCCACAGAGCACAATGCAGCAGGAAGCCATGCCAAGGAGAGAGGAGGGAGGCACCCTCTGTCACCCAGCTACGCTCCTGCCAGGTGTGTGGGCAGAGCAGCTCCCAGTGGCATCCTTAGCTTCTCATCTTCCAAGGCCTCCTCCCCACCCCCGCTTTCTTCAAATGCAGTGCCAGTGTTCTGAAGTCAGGGTCACACAGGACTGCGGGGAGCATGGACACATGTGGTCTCAGTTCTCCAGAGAGCTCCAGTATACAAACTCTTCCCTGGGAAAGGCACCCACCCAGATAATCAGCTGAAGTGGTGGGGGCAGGGGCTGGTTCTGCTTAAGGACTCAGGTTGAAGCCCTAGGAAGGCTTCCTGGAAGAGGGGCAGCGCAGGGGCTGCTGACCAGCCCGGAGTGGACAGAGAGGTAAAAGAGAAGCTGGGTCCAAGGGAAAGTACCGCTGAGTCATCTGTCTCCTTGCAGCAGCTGAGAGGCAGGGGAAGAGGAACTCCCAGGAGAAGTGGACAGTCTAAATCCCATGGGAGTAATGGAGGAGGGATTTAGGTAAGCTATCACAAGGAAGGAAAGGTGTCTATTGGAACAGAGGTTGGGGAGTGTGGACGGGGCCAGGTTGTCTCTAGCGGTGACCTACAAGGACATGAACCTGGAGTGGCAGGCTGCCTTACTGCCATCTAACTTCCTGAGGCTTTACACTCAGGCCCAGTTAGGGTGGGTAATGGAAGGAACTGAGATCAGACACCTGCTTTCCGCCATAGAATCTGAGGAGCCCAGCAAGGGCTGTACCCAGAGGAGTGATCCTGGTCTGGACAGGGAGGGTTTGTGGTGTTCAGAAAGGAGCTGGTTCTGCAGGGCCTCGGCCATCCCCATTTTATCAGGCTAGAGTAGCCCCGAGGCCAGGAATGTGACCTAGTCATCGCTAGCTGGCCTGGTTCTCAGGTAGCTGGGTAGATTAGGAGGTCCCCATCCCTCTCCAGTCTCCTTGGCTAGCAGGACAAGCTCTGGTTCTGGGGCTGGGGCTGGAAGAAGATACCCATGCCTGCCCCCAGCCAACACTACAGAGGAACCTCCTCTGAACCAGTCCTTGCTCCTATTTCCTTTTCTGCCCTTATAGGTCCCCTGCCCTCACTGTGCCTGGCTACCAGAAGACCCCACAGCTGTCCTTCCAAAGCAGCCCTGTACACGGAACATCCGCGCGGCTGCAGTGAGGTTAGGGCCTGACCTAGGAGCCTTGGTGCAGGCAGTTCCAGACTGTCCTCCCATGCACCTCAGCCTGAGCCTCGCCATAGCCTTTAGGGACCCTTCATTCGTCCCTGTGATTTTGCTTTCTGGAATTCAGCCCGGAGCCCAAGCAGGGTGTTTCCCCGTCTAAAATGACAAAATGAGCACGACCTAATGTCTGGCAGGCCCTAGCCCAGGCTGGTCTGCCCAGCAGAAGCCGTGTGTCCGTGGCAATATCTACAGGACCACGACTGGCGGGGTTGGGGACTTTTATTGTATCCTGTCGCTCGATCTCATGGACAACACGCAACTATGAACAGCGGACAGCAGCCAGGGGACCAAGAAATGTCCTTTGCAAAGACGCGAAGGGCAGCTTTGCGGCTCCCAGGAGTCCGCGCGGCGCGACGTCATCAGTGCGCGCCAGGAGCCGGAAATAGTGGCTGCTGCCGCGGTAGTGGAGACACGTGTGGAGCTCTGGAACGGGCGCTCCGGTGAGCCTTGCTGCGTGGGTGTGTGTCCCTAGGGTCCGGTGCGGCGCTCAGGGCCTTTCCGTGGACCCTGTGCTGTCTTTTTAGAACCCTGGGGTGGCCCGCGTGTACGCCTAGGGAGCGCTCCCAGCACCGTGCTGTTCCTGGCAGCCCTTCCCCCTCGCGAGCTCTCGGCCACCCCATCCCGAGTTGAAAATGTCAGGGGAGAGTTTCGCGGAGCCAGGCCGGCCTTGGGGTCGCTGACCATTTGCCGCTTCCCGCTGGTGGGCTCCGCTCTAAGTCCTCCTCGTCACCCACCTAGGGAGTGGAGCCAAGCTCCTTTAGAGTGTGGGAATCCTTGGGCCTTGCCTCTACTGTTTTTTGTTTTGGTTTTGGTTTTTGGTCTTTTTTGAGACGGAGTTTCGCTATGCAGTTCACGCTGGCCTTGAGCCCACTTTTTAGCCTAGGCTGGTCTCGAACTCGCAATGATCCTCCCACTTCAGCCTCCCGAGTGCTGGGATTACAGGCGTGAGCCACCACGCTCGGCTTTTCCTCTACTGTTGCCTGGCTTGTTTCTCCATTTCTGATTTCGTCCTTGTCTCGTGTTCCAGAAGGGCTTCAAACGTCAGGCCCCATTGGGCTGCTCTGTCAGGCAGGGCAGAACCAGCCAGCGGCTCAACCCCATCCCACCCCAGCCCCCAGCCCCCCCACCCCTCCCCCTTCCTCTCACCTGCTCATGGTCTCACATCACTCCTCAGGTTCCTGACACTTGGCAGACATTAACACCATGAGCTTTGTGGCCTATGAAGAGCTGATCAAGGAGGGTGACACGGCCATCCTATCACTGGGTCATGGTGCAATGGTGGCGGTGCGCGTGCAGCGCGGGGCACAGACTCAGACCCGGCATGGTGTCCTGCGGCACTCGGTGGACCTCATTGGCCGTCCCTTCGGCTCCAAGGTGACCTGCAGCCGAGGTGGCTGGGTGTACGTGCTCCACCCCACACCAGAGCTCTGGACGCTGAACCTGCCACATCGCACACAGATCCTGTACTCCACCGACATCGCCCTGCTCACCATGATGCTGGAGCTACGGCCTGGCTCCGTGGTCTGTGAGTCTGGTAAGTTTCTCAGGCTACCTCAGTTCTGAGACACTGACATTAAGGTGAACCCCAAGCCCATGGTCCAGATGGCCCGCACCTACCCCTCCTGCAAGCTGGGTATTGCTGCTCAGAGGCCAGCTGTCAGGAGTGCGGTTGAGTGCTGGTGACCGCAAGAAGCTTGGAAGGCAGCACTGTATGTTGGAAGATGACTTAGAGAGGCCCCCAAGCTAAGGTTGTGAATGAAATGTGGTGCATTGGACCTGGGGTGGAAGAGGAGAGGGTGGAGCCCCAATAAGTCCTGCCTGCCTTGGGGCAGGGCCAGGATTGCTTGGCGCTGACCAAGGTGCTGACTGACTGTAGCTTTGTGCTGCCTCATTATAATGGGGAGCGTGCCCTGTGCTCATTTGCACACAGGACCCCACCTGTGTCCAATGAAGATGAGCACCGTGGTCACCGAGGTAGCACTTGGGGTAGGAGTAGGAGGGCCTTAGAGCCAACTGTTACCCCTGCGTATACCGGGCCTACCTGGAGTGGTGGCCAAAATGTGCGTCCCTGCCGCAAATGACGATGTCCACATGTGGCTGCATTCATGGTGGCACGGTCCTTGAAGGTGGAGCTGGGGTACAGGGTCACAAGGAGTTCTGAGGCCTGTGTGGTGGTTTCTGAGACTTTGGTGCTTCCTGCCTGTCTGATGGGGGCAGGGGCATGAGGAACAGGACTCAAAGGGAGATGCATTCCGAGCCGGGTGCTGACCCTTTGCAGGCCCTCTCACTGCTCAGCCAGCCACACCCCTGAAGGCTCTTGTGGGGTGCCAGGGTCCCCATGTCAGTGCTGTGGATTGTGGGCAAGCTTGGAAGACAGCACTGCGTGTTTGAGGGTGGCTGAGGTCCCTTAGCTGAGCTCTAGTAGTCAGAGCTTCGAGAGATCTTGTGGGTTGAAATGATGAGGAGGTGCTACCAAGAGCCTAGGGGAAGGTGCGCAAAGGCCCTGTGGTGGAAGCATACCACCAACATTGGTCAGCAAAGTTGAGCCAGTGTGGCTGATTCAGGAAGTGAGGCCAAAGGAGCAGGAAATGAAGGTGAAAGATAATGGGGGCCTGAAGAGGATGATCTGGAGTCTGGCTGCCCTCAGTGGGAAGGGAACCTGGCTGGCTGTGCAGAGTGTGGGGCAGACACTGCTGGCTGTGTCAAGATGGGACTGCAGGTGTCTGCTAGGCCAGTTGAGGCCAGCTGGGGGCGGGGCCTGGTCCGGCAGAGATGCAGAAGGTGCAGCAGGAGTTGCTGAGGATCAGTGTAGGGTGGCTGTGTTGCCTCCAGAAGAGCTGGCTCAGCAGTGGGTGCTGTGTCTGAGGCCAGGGCACCTTCATTGGGGGCTGCTGGGGGCTGGCTAGGGTGTGGAGGGGCTGTGGTCAGTGTGGCAGGCGTTACCACAGGAGTCTTCAAGGGATCCAGGCTAAGGAGTCATAAAAGTAGGTGGCACCTGGGGCCAGGGATTTAGCTCAGCTGCATAAGCACCTGCCTGGCAAGTACAAAGTCTCGACTTCAATCCGTCTTACCAAGAAAAAAAAAAGTAGTGACACCTGGCACTGCAGTGGAATTGTGTAGCAGTTGGGCCCAGTCGGCACTGCAGGAACAAGTACAGGATGGCTTTGAGGGAAGCTGAGTGCAGGCATGGTGGGGCACTGAGAGGGGGCACTGGAGGAAGAGGGTGGGTCGGCCGCCAGCCCCGTGCCTCAGCTGGAGCAGTGCCAGGCAGAGCTTCTGTCTGTGTGCTAGTGCAGATTTGGATGGGGCTTTGGGGACATACTAGCCCACACCCCAGTTAGGAGGTGGAGATCTAGAGTTCAGTCACTGGGGCTGGGAATTTAGCTCAGCGGCATAAGCACCTGCCTTGCAAGCAGGCAGTCGTGAGTTCGATCCCCAGTACCGATAAAAAAAGAAAATACAAAAAAGAAAGAAAAAAATAGAGTTCAGTGACTGTGTGGAAGGCATCAGGACCTAGGCCAAGCCAGGCCCACGGTGGCCCCAATGAAGCTGTGTGGTGGCCTGTGTGTCTTCATCTGTGCCAATGCAGGCACAGCTTGTCTTTCCCAGCCTTGGCGTCCTGGCCCAGGGCCAAGGCCACCAGGAACAGATGAGTGGCTCATGGGGGACACCCACCCGTGACCCAGGGGTCAGCTGGCCTCTGGGCCATCCAGGTGAGGATGAGGCTGTTTCCTGGAGGGCCGTGGGCTGTGAGCTGTCCCAGACCCCATCCTGTCTCATCCGAACCAGGCACTGGCAGCGGCTCTGTGTCCCATGCGATCATCCGCAGCATTGCCCCCACGGGCCATCTGCACACCGTGGAGTTTCACCAGCAGCGGGCAGACAAGGCCCGGGAGGAGTTCCAGGAGCACCGCGTGGCCCGCTGGGTGACCGTGCGCACCCAGGATGTGTGCCGCAGTGGCTTTGGAGTGAGCCATGTGGCCGACGCTGTCTTCCTGGACATCCCATCACCCTGGGAGGCAGTGGGACACTCCTGGGACGCCCTCAAGGTTGAAGGTGTGTGGGGCAGCTTGGGGTAAAGTGGTGGAGTGGAAGGCTGGGCCCCTTCTGCCTGGAGATGATGAGAGACCAGGCTGCTGGGAAATCCGGGTGGGTGGGGAGCTTGGCCCAGGTCTCTGGGGATTGCATGACAGTCCTGCTCAGGGGCAGGCAGGATCTGTAGGATGGGCTGGGCCTGGGTCCTAGGGCAGCCCTCAGCCTGGCTGTGTCTCCTGCAGCCTCCCCTCCCCCCACCGCAGAGCTGGGCAGCTGGCCCCTTTTAGGGAAGATGCTGAGTGCGGAGGCGGAGCGCAGGGGAGGCCTGGGGAAGGTCGGCCAGGAGCCAGGGAGTCAGCCCTGGAGCTGCAGGGATTTTGCCTTTTCTGGAGAAGGAGCCAGCTGGGCAGCCACCCCCAAGCTCCAAGGCTGCAGTGCAGAGGGTGCGAGGCAGAATGGTTGTGGCTCCAAGACCAGAGCCTGGCCTCCTGCTGCCCAGGGCCTGCTGGCACTGAGTGCCTGGTCCTGCTGACATGGTCTAGGGGGGCAGCCCACAGCTTCCCACAAAACCCTGCATCCCCACTGCTCTGCCCTTCCTGCTTTGCCTGTGTACCCTACTCTAGCCCATCCTAGGGCAGCAGAAGCAGACAGAGGCGCCCTGGGCCTTCCTCAGGAGTTGTCCCTTCTGTGTCCCTGTGAGTTCCATCCCCAAGGCCCTCCCCTTGGGTCTGCGTGTCGCTGGGCTGGGGTTCTTGACCTTCCTATGGGTCCTGCGTTTTCTGATAACTGCTTGTCTGTGCCCAGGCTCTGCCTGGGTGATGAAGTGCTTGGGGGCCGTCTTGTGTTGGGGACCTGGCCTAGGGACACTTGCAGATTTGGCAGGACACACACACCCCTTCTCGTCTTGGCACCCCCCATGACCCTTGCCTGGATGAGGACCTGGCCAGACTTGCCCATGTAGGTGGGCTAAGCAAGGCGTGGGCCACCTTGGGGAGCAGCAGAGGGCCTGGCTGGGCTCAGGATAGGTGCCTCCAGTTCCCAGGAACCAGTGACAGCCTCTAATTTCCTGTGACAGCAGCAGCCCACACACCACCAGAGCTGCTGCGTTGTTAGAGCTATTCCTGGTCCAGCCCTCATGGCTGTGGCAGGCTGGCCCCGCCTTTTGCTGCCTGCTAGAAGGCAGGATGGCAGTGTCCACTGGAGGCTGCTGAGACCCCGCAGTGAGGGCTTGGGCCTGGTACACCGTGGCCACTGCATGGGCTCCGAGTCCCCAGAAAGCCACCACATGGGTTAGGCCAGCAGGAGGGCCCTGCAGGACCCACGCAACCCACCACCCTGTGCCCTGCACTCGGCCAGCGGCCTTTGGGTGTGTAGACCGCCCCCAGCACCTCTGACTGCGTGTTCTCCCCACAGGCGGACGCTTCTGCTCCTTCTCACCATGCATCGAGCAGGTGCAGCGCACGTGCCAGGCGCTGGCCGCCCATGGCTTCACAGAGCTGAGCACCCTGGAGGTGCTGCCACAGGTCTACAATGTGCGCACTGTCAGCCTGCCCCTGCCTGACCTGGGAGATGGTGCAGGCACCCCTGCAGGGCCGGACGCCAGCCCTTTCCGCAGTGGTACGCCCATGAAGGAAACTGTGGGCCACACAGGCTACCTGACCTTCGCCACCAAGACTCCAGACTAGCAAACCTGGGAGCAGCGCGGGGCAGGAGGGAGCCAGGCTGCCTTACATGGTCAGGGGACTCTGCAAGGCTGGGCTTGGAAACTAACGTGGGGCAGGGCTTAGGGCCTCCTGGGTGGCCCTGATGAGGCGCGCTGGCTGCTCCTGTCCTCAGGGAAGGAGCCTCCCACCCACATCACTGCCGAGCTCTGGCTCGGGCCCATGCTGTCTGTTGCCAACATGAAGCCCACGATGCTGCAGCCTCTCGTAGGTGCTGAGGCCTGGGATGCAGTTGGGGTAGCAATGGCTGACCCCGTTCCTGTGGCCCCTGCAGGCAGGTGGTACAGAACGCTTGGCCACTGCTCCAGGCCTGTGCTTCTCAACTGGGGCTGGGGCTTGGCGAGAAGCCCAGGGATGCTGACTTGGAGACCCTCGTGCTGGCAAAGGGACCCCGCCACCTGACCCCCAGGCTGGGCCCACAGCCTTGGATGCTGTGCAGGCTGTGTGTAGGCTGCACCCAGGCCTTGGGAATCTTCCCATGACCCAGTGGCGGGGGCACCTGCTGCCCTTCGGAGCCCCCATTGTGTTATCAGGAAAACCCCATAGCGTTGCAATGACTGAGTGGGTCCATGTCCCAGCCAGTGTCACTCCAAACTTAGGTCCCTTTGCTTCTTATGGGATCCCTGTGTCCCTCCTCCACAGATAACGGCATTGAGCAGGGGACAGTACCTCCCATAGATGGACCTTTGTCCCCACCTCTTGTAGGCTGAGTGAACATTCCCAAGGTGAGGGACATAGAGGCCAGGATCCAGGGCTGGGCATGAGTGGACTCCCTGCTGCATGGCCCTGGGCCTGATTGCCTGTGTATGGTCAGCACTCAGGTACTATGTCCCCAAGTCATGGACTGGCTCCCGGGTGTGCCTGATGGAACAATAAATGTGCTGCCCACTGCACTGTGTGGTCTCTTTGGCTATCCAAGCAGCTGCCCCCAGCTGCTTCCCTGGCCAGCCTGCCTCACATAAGGCTCCTGCCCTGTCCCCAGCCCAGGGCAGGTGCTTCAGGGGCTCCAGTCTCCAGGACAATAGCTCGGACCTTGGGACAAAGGGTGAGTGTGTGGCTACCCCCACCAGCTGCAGAAAGGGCCCCTTGTCCCTGGGATGGGGGGCAAGGGCTCCCTCCTATACTCCCCACTAGCTGTCCTTTCAGAGGCACTCAGGCCCCCTTTCCTGATCGACGCACTGCTACCAGGCACCTCTTCTGGGACTGGCACAGGCGGCAGGACCTGTGTCCCTCAGCAGGGGCCCTGGTCCCCAACCACTAGCCTTACCCTGAAGGGTATTCCTGCTGCTGGGACCTGGATTGGCCTCTAACCTTATGCCTGGCAGGACAGACCAGTTTCAGCATTAGTCCCACCCCACAGCAGAGATGCAGGAGACACCCCCCTGCACAGCTGCAGAGCAGATAGGCCTGGGGTCACAGAGCCCTAAGCACGCACTGTCCAGGTGAGCTGACTGAGACAGCGCTGGGGGACACAAGGACAGGCTGTGTGTGGTGGGAGCAGCAAGAGGCCAGCCGCTCTTGCCCTGAGGGACTTGGGCTGCCTGGGTTGACAGATGTGCCTCTGGGCGGGCCTCAGTGTCTGCCGCCTCCAGCTGGCCTTGCCCAGCCCAGCATCACAGCTTCCGCCCATAGGAGTTCTCCCCTGCAGCAACCACCTGTGTGTCCTTCAAGGCTATGACACGTGTCCCTTTCCTAGTTACTCTTCAGACCTGCCCATGCCTAGGTGGGGACATCCTGCACAGAGGGACATCCATCAGAGGCTTTGTGTTCCCCAGCCTGGCGGGCTCTGCACGGGGGAAGAGCAGAGGCCATGCTGTAGCCTCACTCCCACGTGCATGGGGCTGGTGACTGGCTGGCCAGCGGGCCCCAAGGTCACCTGGAGTCAGCAACACGGGACTGCTTGTGGGCCAGGGCTGGAAAATCCCTCCCCAGCCTGACACTTAGTGCTCAGTTTTTCCTTAGCAGCTTGACAGTGCCCATGGCTGTGCCTGCCCACTTCTTGCCAGCGTGGCCGAGGGAAGCAGGGGGTACTTGAGCCTCTGCTCAGACACTAGCTCGCCTGCCCTAGTGCCCCTGTGCCCTGCATGAACTGCTGACTCTGAGGCAACCTACCCTGGTCTGTCCTGCCCCTCAGCCAGGGCCCTAGGGATGCCGGGCTGTGGAGAGGGGGCCGTCTCACCCCTCTGGAAGTCTCATGCTTCTGCTTCCCTTCAAGCCTGTGACCTAGAGCAGGTGGAGAAACCAGAGGGTGACAGTGCTGCTCTGAGCATGGCCTGGGGCTGGGCAGGTGAGTGCCCCAGAACAAAGCAGGCATGAGGGGCACTTGTGCCAGGCCCTCACGACTTCCCCAGCAGTGTGGACCAGGCAGGTCCTCTCATACAGCCTGCTGGAGGGGCTTCTGAGAACCAGCCAGAAGGAGGAGCGGGGTGGGCAACACTGCCATGGGAGTCAGGGAAAGGTGGGCTCCTGAGCGTGGCCCAGGGTCACAGAGGGGCCAGGTGTTGGCTTTCCCCTGTGGGCAGTGGACCTGGGAGGACAGCTGGGAGCAGTCTCCAGGCTGCCAGTTCACCCTGCCCCGGCTGTGCAGGCTGTCTGAGATGGTCTCAACTGGGGTCAGTGCTGGCAGTCCACTATGTACCATTGTGACTGCTGTCACCAGTACGAGACACTGCCTCAGGGCCTTTTCAGAATTCAAGGCTGAAATCAGGGTGCACTTCCACTCTGGGGGTGCCCTGTGTGCCTTGCACCATTGAGGGCATTTGCAGTTACTAGGATGACTAGAGGATTGCAGTCGGGACTTCTCTGGGAGATGCAGGCCATCTGTGTCTGAGGTGCAGCTGGAGCTGGGGCTAAGAACAGCCAAGGCTGGGCGGGCCGAGGACCCCTCACCTGACCTCCCAGCTATGTGTGCTGGTGGCCACCACACCCAGGGCTCACTGCTCACAAGTGGAGTGGCCCTTCCAGCACTGCCGCTCTCCCAGGGCTGGTGGCCAGGGTCACATGCTTAGTTCCCATAAGCCTGGCCCAGTGGGACTGCGCTGTCCAGCTTTGGTGCAGGTTGCCTGCCGCAAGGATGCTGGCCAACACCTGATCTCTGCCAAGCAGACCTGGGGAATCTGGGAGGGACCTGGGGGCAGAGGAGGATGAAGGCACTTTTTACGGTCCCTGGGGTCAGCTCCAAGAGAAGTAGCTTCTGAAAGTGGCCTCGCAGGCGAGCAGTAGGCACGGCTCAGAGCTCTGAGTGGAGCTGCTGACCTCCGAGCCCATCTGCTGCTCCATGTGACCTGCCTTGGGGTCCTCAGCAGGCAGGCATGGGCCATTGTGGGCCCTGCCTTGTCCCAACTGTGGCCTGGCTGCCCTGCACTGCATCCCTGTGCCCAGGAAGAGGGCATTTCAAAGTCAGGCTGCCTGTGAGGCGGGCGTGTGGCGGGAGGGAATAGCACGGCTCCCACCAGGCTGAGAATAGCTCGGAATTGGGTCAGGTTCACCAAGCGCACTTCGGTCACAGCCTCCAGCCCTGGTGATAATCAGCTTTCTCTCGGCATCTGTGCTTTTGTGTTGGGGAGGCAGGATCAGGCCCATTTTCAGGAGGAGGCAGGTGGGGATGGGCAAGGAGCTGATTTTAAAGTGGAGGCCCCCTCACCTGTAGCACTGGGGCCACTCCTTCACCTCAGGCCACCCATCCCCTCCTGCCCACAGCTCTACCTCTGTCCACCCTAGGACTGTTGACCTACCACATGAACAGGGCCAAGTGCTGGGACTCACCAGTGGTCTCTGGCCCTGCCTTCTGTCCCAAGGGCTGGGTGGCCTGTACTGCCACTCAGGGCCCCGTCCTCTGGCTCCTGCCGGCCTGTCCTGAGTATGCGAGGGACAGCGGAGAGTGGGCTGCCCTTAAGGGTTTGGGGGCCCCAAGTTTCTTAGGCCCCATGGCCTGCTCCCAGGTGGCACCACACCATCCACCAGACCAGGTGGGATTCCTCCCTGTCACCTAGACCCCCAGCTGTTCCCACACAGCCTCCAGACCAGGCTGGGGACAGCTCAGGAGAAGGCACTAGCCCTCCACTGCCAAAAGAAAGGAACTCAGAGCCTCCCAGCCAGTGCCCGGCCAGCCTTCTCCAGGTAATGGTGTGCCCTCTTGTCCTAGATGGGCAGTCTCAGCACCCTCTGTCCCTGAGGCTTGGCTGACCCAGTGTGACTGAGAGGATGACTGTCCCTGCACCTGCAAGCTGTGAAGACAAGCTCAGGCCCCACTCCAGCATTCCTGATCAGAGCGTGAGAGTTGGGCCAATCTTTGTTCCCTCTGCTTCGGCCACTAGGAGCCTTGCCCAGATTTGCTGTCCACAGAGTACAGAATTTCTCTCACCCTCATCAGACAAGGTGGCACATGACTGGAGGCTGAGGCAGGAGGATCACCACAAAAGGTCATCCTCGGCTCCATAATGATATCCTGTCCTTCACCTTGTTGCTTCTAAAGCCTGCTGTCCTCCCCGCAGGGCAGCCTTGAGAGGACTGAGGTGAGTGGTGTCACAAGGCCCAGGTGTACCCTTGAACCCAGCTGCACGCACCATCCCCGTCCTGTGCCAGGTACACAGTTCTTGGTTCTGTAACCTTACAGACCACAGAGCTGTCCTCACGTTCTTGTGTGCCCCCTCCATGTCCCTGCTAAGTGAACTTCTCAGGATCTGGTCCTCCTGGCCAGCCACTCCATGTCATCTGGGAGCTGAGCAGGGACCCCTTCCCACAAGCCCACAGGCCCAGGGGAAGCTGTGGTCTGGACCCAGCATAGGGAGAGCCGCTGTCTGCCTGTTCTTCATTTCAGAGCAACCCAGCACGCCTGAGTCAGCCACTGCAGCACCTCCATCTCAGGTGGCTGGGGGTCACCTGGGCCCTGGCCCCCCAGGCACTGCTGTCTCAGGGTGGCTCTTCTCACAAATGTCGGGGCTTCCAAAAGGAGGAACATAGAGACATGGGGGGACGTGGGGACTCCACTGGGACTGGGTCCCCATATGAGCTGACCCAGGTGGTTTTGGAAAATAGGACAATTGGGAAATGTGGAGCCCAAGTGGGCTTCTTGTGAGTGCAAGGAATGGCTTTTCAGGGCACTGATGTCACTGTGAAGGATGAGACAACCAGGCATCCTGCTGGACGGTGCAGGCGAACAGAATACAGAAACAAGGTCTGCATCAGATGTCCCCAAGAGGCTGTGCTTCCAGCCCAGCCCTCACAGATAGGGGAGTCCCCCACAGGGGCCACCATACATGCCCATTCCAGGCTCCCCCACCAGGCTGAGTAGCCTTCGAGGGGTCCCTATCCCATAGCACCTCTGTCTCCCTTCCCTCCACAATAGCAGCCTCCTGCATCCTTGCAGGCCTGGCTGACCCTTCTTTCTGGACTGCTGTGCAAGGCTTCCCATTGTCCAGTGAGCACCTATTGGACTGGCCTGCTTGCCCAGCACAGTGGCACTCGGGAGGCTGAGGCAGGAGGATCATCACAAGTTCAAGACCAGCCTGGGCTGGTTGCATAGTGAGATCCTATCTCAAACAAACAAAAAAAGCCAGCCTCGTTCCCGGTGAACCCCTAGGGCGGGCAGGCAGCTGCTTCTTGTCACACAGTCCCCACTGCCCTGAGTGGCTGTGTGAACTGGGCCGAGACACAGCTGTGGAGTTCGGCTTCCCTGGAAAGCACTGCTGTGGTGAGGGCCAGCCATGGCCTAGCCACCCGTGCGGCAGTCTGAGTCCCCAGGGTACCGGCCACACTGGTGGAGGAGGTCCTGGCTGTGCTTCTCCCAGAAGCCTGGGCCTCCTGAGGAATGCATTTGCTGCTGTGGGTGGCAGGACCAGCCAAGGGGCGGGGATGGACAGTGGGGGCAACCTAGGCTTGTTGCTAAGTGACA